AGGTTGGTTCCTTCCACCGGCACATTCCCAGCTTGTTCACTGACTTCTTCTGCTTCCTCAATTGCAGTGATGAGCTCATATCGGCCATATCTGGACCACAGGTTATCTTGAATAAGGCCTCTCACCTCTTCCATTCTGGCTTCAGCCTCCTCTGCAGTCCTTTCACCGTCGGCCTCTTCCCGCTTTGCAAGAACTTCTTCTTCCTTTCCTTCTGCCTTTTGAGCGTCTGCCTGCAACCCAGCCATGCAGTCATCATTTGCTTCAAGAACCTTTTTTAATCCCTCTTTCAGCTTGGTGAATTCCTCCCTTAGCTCTGCTTCGACCATTCTACCTGCTTCTTTGTTGAGGTAGTTGGCCTGCCTGGTGAAGTTGCTTTTTGCACTTGTTCTTGCTTTCATGAGCTCTTTAACCATCTTCCCCAGGATTTCTTCCGCCATTTTGAGCTAATGGAAATCCACAGTTTCCCTTCTCTGCGTCAACAGCTTTCTCTGGACGTCTGAAGCCTTTTATCCTCTGGCCCAGGCTGCTCCGCTTGGTTTTCAACTGTCAAGTTCTTCAAGTTTTTGGCCTGTACCAGTGATTTAGCCTGACTTGATAGGCTAGAGGGCAACAGAGGACGCTTTGGACAACTCAAATTCGTTCTTTTTGTCTTTATTTATCAAGACAGCTCCAAGAATGTATCAGGTTGAAAACCTTCAAAACACAAAGGACAAACAAAAGTTAGCTCACATGCTACACAAATTACAAAGATTGTGCAGGTCTCACTGCATTCTCAATAATAACAATAATAGCACCACAAACTATGTTTTAATTCAAATGAATACATTTCCTTTAAACCCCATCATTAACTTAAATGAATTAGAGTGTTTATCTCCACTTGGAAACAAGCACCAGAGAAAACCTCATCTGAACACCTGTGCTGTCTAAATTGCACAGAAAACAAACGGGGCACAGGCAAAAAAACAGTTGATTGCGCAACAGCACTCTCGCAAAGTGCGGCAACAGATCAAGTACATAAACACAATAAACATACCAACGGCGTCTCCGGAGCCTCACACACACTGTCGCCTGGTTCTCTCTCCGTGGCTTTGAGAACAAGAGACCGGCCATCACAAACTACACCCCTTTTGTAGCCGTGTTGCCGGAAGCGGCATTCATATATTTTCTACAGCTCGCTTATGAAAAGTAGCCCATGATATCAAAAATAAACAAATACCCTCTCCTGGTATTGAACAATACTATAATAATAATAGCCTACTAATACTCTAAATGAAAACACATAATTATTTTTTAGTCCGTTTTTCACAGATATTATATATTGACTTTCGTCTCGACAGATAGGCTCTGCAACAAAATTAGCAACATATCTAAGAAATGTACCAACTAAATGATCCACTCCTGGTGGTTTATCATTACATTTACCTAGTAGACATTCAACATCTGTAATTGTCACTTTTTCTATTTTAAATGTACACTTCTTATTTTTCATAATTAAATCCTTTATTAGAAATGTGGAGTTACTATTTATAGTTTGATTCATATTTATCCTCAAATGTTTTACTTTATCAAGAAAGTAATCATTCAGATGATTAGCAATTTGTACTGGTTTTGTCAAAAATGTCCAAAATCCACCTCAAGATATGTTGAGGTGGATTTCGGCTTACGGCCCATCATGCCATTCACTAAACTCCACAGTTTTTTCTTGTCATCCTTTATCTCTTTAATTTTATTTCCATAATACAACTGTTTTTTATTTGTATTTAATGCTGTAACATAATTCCTTAACCTTCTATAAATGTGCCCATCTGACTCATAACTTGATGAGAGAGCTACATGTTTTGCATCATCTCTTTGTTTCATTAGATCCCTTAATCTCACCAGGGTGCTCTAAAGTTCCTTACAGTCTGTTTTCTAAGTGGAGCATGTTTATCAATCACCTGCATGAATAACAAATTAAAGACATCAAGAGCATCATCTGGATCGACTTTCTCAAAAACATGTTTCCAACATCTCTTTTGAACATCCTGTATAAATGACTCTTCACTCAAATATTTCATTGATCTCCTCACAATTACTTTTGGTCCAGCTTTTGGCACCTTTGTCTTTCTCACGATAATTATTAAATTATGATCAGAACACCCTACTGGAATTGATATTGCCTGAGAACATACATGGCTAAAATTAGTAAATATATGATCAATACAAGTTGCACTTTTTGACCCATCTTTCTTTATGCATATCCTGGTAGGTTTAGTCACCATTTGTACCAAGTTACATATTAATTATTGTCTGCAGCTTGTTTTTAAGGGCACAGTGCAACATATTCCAGTCAATATTTAAATCTCCGATAAAATAAATCTCTCTGTCAAGATCACAAACTTTGTCTAACATTTCACATAATTTGTCTAAATAAGTTAGGTTTGCATTTGGAGGTCTGTAACAACATCCTACCAACAAAGGTTTCAAGTGAGGTCAATTAATTTGCAACCAAAGTACTTCAATATCAGCAGACATCAAATCATATCTCACTTTAGCTGGTATTTGCTTTTGAATGTATACTGCCACCCCACCTCCATATGCATTCCTGTCCTTTCTACATATTCTATATCCATCAATATCCACAGCAGCGTCATTAAATGTGTCATCTAAGTGAGTTTCAGATATTGCTAACAAATGAATACCACATGATAATATTTCCTCTATCTCAGACACTTTATTTCTTAGACTACATATATTTATGTGAGCCAATTTAAACCCTTTACGTGGTAACTTATTCAACATTAAGATGGCAATTTAAATGTTATCTCTTTTTCACTTCCTATCAAAATGAGAGCTGAACTAAAACATACATCTAACACAATTTCAACCACACACACCATCACATACATAACCCAACATTTATCTGCACATAGATTGCTATAAATGTGCATACTCACTCGCTCAATTAGACGAGCCTCCCGGTAGCTCCCAAACATTTTTAAATAATAGTATGAAATAGATTCATGGTAATGTCTCGCAACACTAGATCTAATCAATACATCAACATTATATTTTAGGAGGAATAAACAACAATAGACACAAGTTGAAATTTGTCTCTATTCAAAATCTAATAAACATAAATTAATATTCGCAGATGATGAAGTAAATAACTTCAAATAAATGAGTAGATAACTCATAGACCAGTGAATATTGGCCTACAAGAAAATAAAACAATTGTGGAGATCACCAACACTGCAACAATTCCCATTTTCATAATACAATTAATTTATTCTCCTATATGTATAATCATACCATCTATCAGGTCATGTCAATCAGTCATTTCCCACCTTCATTTCTGGTTTGAACTGAAACCGGGCTTATCACTGTTTTATAGAAATGCTCAGCTTCACTACAGTCCCGATACAGTTTGGTTTGTCCATTGAAGGTTACGATGAGCGTTGCGGGGAACAATAGTCCATGCCTCACCTCAGCCTTGCGCAGCTACATCCTGACGTCATTGAATAGGGCTCTCTTCCTGGCAGTATCCGGAGTAATATCAGGAAATATCTTCACTCGCATGTCACGGAAAATAATCTCTCCCTTGCTTCTTGCCAGCTTCAAGATAGCTTCCTTAGCTTGATATCTCTGCATAGTGACAATCATAGGTCTGGGTCTCAAATCAGTCTCCTGCCCAATCCTGTATGCAATCTCGACTGCCGGTTCACATGAGAGCTCACTTCCGAACACCTCCTTTAAAAAGTTTGTCACAAAGGCAATGGGATCGCTCTTCTCAATGTCCGTTTTCAGTCCAATCACACGTAGATTAAACTTTCTGCTTTGAATCTCCATCCTCTCTATTTTGTCTTTGAACTCTTTGTTTTCCTTCATTAGATTGCCATTTGCGGTTTCGAGTATAGCAACCCTACAATCCATGTCGGTTATCCCCTCCTCCATATCACCGAGCTTCTGACAACATGAGTCAAGTTCTCCCTTTAAAGCATCAAGCTGCGGCTGGAATTTCTCTAAAGCAGCCCCTATCTCCTCTCTTATTATGGAGCGTATTAGTACCGACAGCTCCGAGTGGTTCACCTACTGTCAATCAAGTTCAAGTTCAAGTTGTAGTTTTTACTATTTTCCACTACTATTAGGTAGTTATGATTGGTAAGGATTATGGTTAAAATATGTAATTCATAATAAAATATCCATATCATTTTATGGCAGCATTTTTTTGGTCCTCTAAGGAAATAAGAGCAGCTTTTTTTGTATCAAGTGAAGCACAATGGTTTACACGAAGCTGCTTTCACAGAGAGGAGATGTTCTCCTGCCTCATCACGAGGTCGGGCAGAGCCTTTAGGTGCACACAGATAGTTGCTGTTGTTTCTATGGTTACCTGCACTGTTAGCCTGTGCACTTTGAGCACAGCACTCTCTGGACATTCCCAGGAAAACATCAGTAGAGCCAGTGCAGAGCGGATTGACTGCTTCATGTGAAGGCAGTTTCAGAATATCACACACAGAATGAGCAGGTGCATTACATACATACAGTATCATTATGCAGACCAGTCTACGTTACAGCTGCATACAATAATTGTATAGTGCTGCTGGGCAACGATTACAATTATTAAGGTAGCAGTGACCCATGTTTGTCTGTATGTGTCTTCAGAGCCAGTGAGCAACGGACTTTCAAAAATAATAACAGTTAACACGCGATCAAATAATTTTCAGCATTATTAAATGAATTAGTTAATGCGATAATAACGCGTTAACTTGCCTAGCCCTAGTATTTTACAATAATTAGGATGTATAGAGGCTGTTTTTTTTAAACATGTGAATGTTAAGATGAGGAGCTACACAGTGCTGGACGCAGTTCTGTGGAACCTCTAACCTCTCTGTGAGGGTGGAGAGATCCAACAGAGGAGAGCCAGTTCTGTAGAAATATGCTTGATAATATTGGTAATATAAATAGTGGCACCATATGGGAATATTGGTTTACATGACATGACAGACAGTGTATAAACTCACACAGAGCGAAGGTGAGCCACACCGGCTGGTCGTAGTGAACGATGGCCACACACAGCGTGTTGAGGCCCACCAGACACAGCACGGTCCAGTAGAAGCTCTGGGACTTCACCAGGTGGCGGATAGTGAAGCGGAGCCTCTTCTCCTTCCTCCTAAAGTACAATGAGTTCTCGTTCTTGCTCTTCAAGCTGGCCCGGGCGAACGGAGACCCTGGGGGGGCAGTTGGAGCAAAACATACAAAATGCAATAAAGTTACCTCGTCTTAAACCTGAGCCTTGTTTTATAACACAAGTAGGGATGTCACAAGAACTGATGCTGTTGTTGTTCTACATTCCTCCATGTTACACAAGTACCAGGGATACAATTATTCCCGAGTTGACAGGGCAGTACAAATGCAGCTGCAGTTCTGCCCACTCTTCCAAAAGTGTGTTTGGAATTCGGGATTGTGGATAATCAGGGATTAATAATACATTCTCAAAAATCAGTGCGATCAAACTTTTCACCCAATGAGTAAACAATTCACACAGAGACATCCAAGATTGTTGAAATCATTTTTGCAGATAAATGTAATTGTTAGATTGAAGATGGCACTTATGGGAAGAACCATAATAACAAACGTAATACATGTGATATAATAAATGTATAAATGTTCTTAAGACTTATCACAACCGCAGCTTTTTCATGTGAGGACTTTTCATTATCTTTTGGCTTTTAAAATCGTAGCGCCATGCTGTCCACCACTGCCTTTAGGCTGTTCTATAATAAACCTTCTGTAACTTAAATTAAACCCAAATGTCAAGTATGACTGGATTCAAAAGGGAGTGAGAAAAAAATAAATGTGATATTATAATTGCATTAGCAAAGGAAGAATAGTGTGTGTGTGTGTGTGTGTGTGTGTGTGTGTGTGTGGGTGTGTGTGTGTGTGTGTGTGTGTGTGTGTGTGTGTGTGTGTGTGTGTGTGTGTGTGTGTGTGTGTGTGTGTGTGTGTGCGTGGGGGGAAATAAGTAGGTTTGCTTGTATCAATCATAACTTTTCTAAATAATTCAACTACCCATATCTGACAATATCTGCAACTTTTTTCACAGTAAAGGTACATTTGTCATGTCACCGATAGGAAACAATTGTATTCCTTTATTCTTTGGATGTATAGGATATACTTACATTAATGGATAATTTACCTCTACAGCCTCCAAAAAACATTCAAATAAAGAAAGGAAGAGGAAACCTTTTTTAAAAAACATGTTAAAGAGTGTTTGCAGAATGTGTGCATCCACTGAATATACTGATGAAAGAAACTCTTAAAGTATAATATTTTCAATGTGGCCTCTTGGTGCAAAGATATTTCAACCCAACACAAAAGTCTTCACTATGAGAGTCCATTGAATACGTCTGACAATCTGTCACAATCTAGCAAAACAGCATCCTCTCTGATTGTAGTGTGAACAACAGTGTTGCCTTCAAACACAGTGTGAGAGTCTGACAGTAACAGATCTGGTGTCTCACCAACAGATGGGATGTCAGTGAAGTGGTCCTCGCCCTCTTCAGCGTTGATGAGATCATTCTTACTCTTCTTGGTTCTTTTGAGCACTGCATCACAACATGGAAAGAAACAGCAGAGTCATGAGGCAGCTCGTCTGAACCACACTCTTCTGTTAATAAGGAAGATTGTTTCTCTTCCTTTTTCATTCTTCTTTTCATAATTTGCTTTCATCACAAAGGTTTTTACAAAAAATCTTAATTACAGTTTCATATGTCGCCATGTCTGACCAGTCCCCTTTATTCAATATCAATGAATTAATATACAATCCATTCGTGTTGGACTATAGTGCAATAAAATAAAGCAAAGGTCTAATGAGTAAAACCCCATTTCTGTTTTATCTGATGTATAGAAAATAAAACAAGAAAGGAACCTATATCATATATATATAATCTTATATTTAGGGCTGAAACACTCTTTAGGTTTGAGCCTTTAGTCATCAAAACAAGACATCTGAACATAAATCAACTTGGGCTCTGGGAACCAGAAAAATTGCTACTACTGACATGTTATGGTTTTAATTATAATAATAATAACTGGCTTTATGAAAGCTCTTTAAACAGCGTTATTAGTGGTTATCAGAACTATAGATATGTGCTGGAAAGTCCTGTTACACCTATGAGTAGATTCAAAACGCAGTAATATTCTGACAGATACAAAACAAGAAGGTCAGAGTAATTTACACTACAGTTTGTCCGTTTGAAACCAAAGGTCATTGTTCAGTTATTCCAACTGAAGCAGCCTATTAAGCAAAGTTATGTCATGTACGTAATTTAACAAACATAGAGATTCTTATGTTGAAATGTCTTTTAAATAACCGTGAAGTTTTGGCACATAAATCTTATCGAAAGAGAAACTCTGAAGCACTAGAGTGGAAGTGAAAACAGCTGATAGGAGCGATTTAAAGGCCTCGGTTATTAAATAAACAGTTTTTACACGACATTCACTATCATGGTGAGAGAATGGGGGCATCTTTTTCTTTTTATATATTTATTTGACAGGGACAGTGCACATTGATTGACATTTCTGTAAATGCGCCAGAGTTAGCCAACAGGCTATTTTTCGTCTGTAGTCCCTGGACAAATGTTGAAAGTCATCCTAAAAACAAAAATTCACTTCAAATAACAGGTAAATACAATCAGTAAAACAACATTCAACAGAGATACTTATATTATGATAAAAGCATATATAAAAACATAAAAACTAAACTTAAATACATATTCACAAAGCAGACAGATAGCAACAGGTCAAGGCACATGTACAAACAGAGCGTTGTAAAGTGCAGATTGTGTCAGTGTTGACAGAGCTGACTTTCCACTAACCATGTTTTTAAGTTAGATTTAAATAAACTGCGGGTGTTTTGTTCTCTAATCTTTACTGGGATTGAGTTCCACTGTTGTGCAGCTTTAAAAGAAAAAGAAGATTGGCTGAATGAACTCTTCCTTAATGGAACAACGCAGTCTCTTCTTGTTGCAGCTCTTGTTGACCTGTTACAGGTGTGCGTATGGTGATAAAATGTCTGAGCGGAGGTGAGGTAAGGCTGTGTATTATTTTGTACATGAGGCAAGCATTTGCATATCTCATTACATTTTCCCAGCTCAACAAGTTATATTTTGTGAGTATTGGGCAATGATGAGAATAAACTGATTTTGTATCTACTATTTTAAGTGTTTGTTTGTATAATGATTCCAGGGGTTTAAGAGTGGTTGTACGGCATGTGACCAGGTTGTTAAGCAGTAGGTGATATGAGATAGAACCATAGAGTGCATGTACATCAGAGCCGCCTCTGTTGACATGCAGTTCCTGGTAAACCTCAAAATGAACAGACTGAATTTGACCCTGTTGCAAACCTTTTTCACCTGAGCCTTAAAATTGAGTCTTGAATCAATTAAGACCCCCAGGTATTTGTACTCTGAGACCACCTGTAGCCTCTCCCCGGACACAAACACATCTGGCTCAACGCAGGAGGACTTGGTTTTGGTGAAGAACATACATACAGTTTTACTGACATTTAGTTGCAGACAGCATTGCTCCAACCAAGCTGTTACATGAACCATCTTGTTCGTCAGTTCATTAGCCACTTGTGTCAGACTGCCTCCGTGAACATAAATTACAGTATCATCAGCATACATTTAGATGTTTGTGTCAGGACATATCGATTGGTAAGTCGTTTATATACAATGAAAATAACAATGGACCCAGAATTGACCCTTGTGGGACACCTGTGGACAGCTGGAGGTTAGATGATTGATTATTCTGTACTCTGACATACTGAGAACGGTTGAACAAATATGATTCTATCCATTTAAGTGTTAGTGTGGAGAAGTTAATGCTGGATAGCTTAGATATGAGTTTGTTGTGATTAACAGTGTCAAAGGCCTTCTTTAAGTCGAGAAACACTGCTCCTACAACACCACCTTTATCCATTTTGGATTTGATTTGTTCTGTGAAGAAACAGTTGGCTGTTTCTGTAGAGTATTTGGCCCTAAAGCCAAATTGCATTGGATGCAGAGAAAAAGCACTGTTATTCAGATGGTTCATAATTTGTTCAGCTACAAGTTTTTCAACGACTTTTGATACTGTAGGAAGGATACTAATGGCACATTTCCACTGCAGCGGGGTAGCCCCGTTTAAGCGTCGCTAAGCGTCCTCGCTCAGGCCTCGGGCTGCCTTGCTGGCCGTCCGAGGCCGTGGCGCATTTCCATTACAGTTTAGGACCTGGGATAGCAACGCAGTGTAGGCGGGGCGATCGGCTTTGTTTTTGTTCACATTTCGAGTTGTTCCGTCGAGCTCCCGCTGGATTTGATCATCCCCAATGAGATGTAGGAACGTCGTCACCTCCTCGGTCGACCACGGTGTGCTTTTCTTATTAGACGTAGCCATTTTTGTAGCTCCTCCGTTTACAAAATGCTGTTTATAAAAATGCTGCAAGCTTGCTTCTAAATATATATGCGACGCTAGGGATGAACTCGCGCGCGATCTTGTGACGATTCTCTCTGACCAATCAGCAGTCGAGAGTGTTGACGTCACTAGTTCAGCCCTGGCCCTGGTCTGAGGGAACCACGATTTTATGAGGCCGGAAAAAGAGGGAAAAAGTACCCGCTGGCCGGTACTAGGCTATATGGAAACGCCACCAAAAACCGGCCTGGCCGCTTGAGGACGGTTAAGGATGCTTAAACGGGGCTACCCGCTGCAGTGGAAATGCGCCATAATTGGCCTGTAGTTATTGGTAGACATTGGGTCTCCACCTTTAAAGATTGGGATAACTACAGCCGGCTTCCAGACATTTGGAAACATTCCTTGACAGAAAGAGAGGTTGATGATATTGGCAATAGGATGAGAAAGAGTTGTACTGAGGTCTTTGAGCATAACTGCATCCATACCAAATATATCCTTTGCTTTAGATGGTTTAAGGGATTTAATTACTCTTTTAACTTCTGCTTCAGTTGTGTTTCTTAAGCTGAAAGCTGGCTCCATTGTATCAATTTGACAATTACTTGTGCAGTCAGGAGAAAAACACTGTGCAATGTTAGCAACAAAATCAATAAAATAGTGATTTAAAACTAATCTAATGTTGCTTCATTGCTACATCTCTCTATGTTTTCTTTCCAGCTCGCTGCTGGTGTTCAGCCGGATAATATCCACATGTCTACCCTACTTTTATAATGTTCTAATCATAAATCTAATCGATATATTTATGATCGATAGATTTATGATTAGCATAAGTTTGTTCATGATGGCTCATGTCAGTGATAGTGATGACATTGTTGCGGGAGGGCCTAGGTATAAAAGTCACTGCTCGCCACTGTGTTTTACAATGTAGCACAGTTCAGTTTTGCTCTTAAGAGCCATAACAAATCAGGCAGAGAATCTGAACAGAGAAGAAAAGAGCTCTAAAAGTTGTGTGAAGGACCCTCACTCTCCCACGCTGCCTCTGAACTCCAGTGAGCCTCCCTCTCTGAACTCATTCTAATCTCATTACCCTCCCACCCCAGCACCATGATCACTGTGACTGTTACAGTGGAAGAGAATTCACACACACACACACACACACACACACACACACACACACACACACACACACACACACACACACACACCACACACACACACACACACACACACACACACACACACACACACACACACACACACACACACACACACACACACACACACACACACACACACACACACACACACACACACACACACACACACACACACACACACACACACACACACACACACACACACACACACACACACACACACACACACTCAGAGGGAAATGCCAGTGGAAATGACCTGTGTATCAGCAACTAGAAGCTGGTGGTAGGTCTAACAGTAGGACAGCTACCCATCAAGTACTAATACTGTGAATTACTAATGGTCAATGCACTTGCATTCAAATGGCACCTCTCTACAATGTTGTCCAATTAAAGTGCTTCAAACCCTCTGGTCGTGTTTCTCCCCCCTTACTTTGGTGTTCCCGGTCAAATTTGGTCTTTTTTACTGCTCTTACATTAACACAAAAACCTTTAATCATCACCAAATGTTATTGAACACCCTATTGAGCTGTAAACAATGTCAGACTACTGGTTCAAATGAACAACTGCAGTAAATATACAAAGAATATCACTGATCTAGTTGATTTGTGGGTGTGCACTATCTGATGGATGACCGTAATCTAGGGTTACCGATTCATTTCCAATGGGGGTCATTTTTGACCATCAACATCATAGGTGTTAAAGTTGACTAAATCACTCAAAATTCAATGAAAGTGGGTAATGAGGACCAGCAGTTTTATATGTTCAGATACCTGCTGTGGAGGATATTATAAGGCCTTGAAGCAATCAAATGTAAAACACAATATTTATTATTGATGAAAGTAGTAAATCGGTCACATTTGACGCAAACACGACAGGAGGGTTAAATACCTGCCAATATGTACCTCCACACATTATACACTGATGGCAGCGCTGTCATCATCTAGTAGTCTAACGCAGTGGTTCTCAAATGGGGGTACGCGGACCCCTAGGGGTATGTTGGAGTACTGCAGGGGGTACGCGAGATTTATTTTATGTTAATGAAAAAAAAAAGAAAGATAAATATAACAATTTTAGGAAAAGTAACGAAGTTTGAGCAGCGTGGGTTTTATATTAATAGACTAGAGTTACACATATTTAAAAACACGAAGTGTAATAAATGCAGTTAGCCACCCTATCAGAATGACAAAGATCCTCAGTGAAGCACAAGCCCATGTTTCTCACTAAATTGTAAGTACAACTTAAAGATCAGTTCAATGCAACTAATGTCGTCTTAGTGTTATTGCATGATGTTAAAATTGGTTTGCCATGAATTTAGTGATGGATTCTAAACATTTGAAATGTAGCATTAAGTGTTTCTCAGTTACAATGTTGTTGTTTTAATAAATCAGACACTGATGGTGCAGTGCTGTACTGTACCTCGTTATATAGGCATTTTTCCCCTAACAAATAGTTTGTGCGCTGATCAGGGGGTACTTGGCTGAATTTATTTTTCAAAGGGGGTACATTATTGAAAAAAGTTTGAGAATCACTGGTCTAACGGACCATCATCCATGGTGACTGACCAACTGTTAGTGTGTTTAAATAATGTACTAGTTAAGGCAGGTGAAAAGGACTAGCACTGAGTGACTGGGTCAATTTGAGCTCAGTGATGTTGAGCTTCACAGGGAGGAACAATGTGACAGGCTTTGTTTTCACAGGAGACATTTTGACTTTAAATAGAAACAATTACTGGAGGCTCTGTTTATTTAAGTGATTAGCTGATTTAATGTAATATTATGTAGCAGTATATTATCAAGTAAGACATATTGCATTTTATAGGGATCATAGAACATGGGTGGTGAGGCAGACTTTCAGGAGAAGTGAAACAACAACTTCTTTACACAAAGGTTTTGCAAATTGGGAAGAAGGAAACACATGCACAATGTGTGTATCTGTCACATTATCAGCTGAAAGCACAATAGGTTGAAGCCTTGTTATTCATAATCTTTTACAGTTTGGGCTGCTCTCTAAACTGTCCCTAGACTTTAAGACAATGTGTTTCTCACCAGAGTTGGTTTGTTTCCTTTTGTACCACGCTCCATCCAGAGATTTCTCTTCTGCATGCTTGTCTTCCTCAGCCAGCATCACCTCCTCTGCAACACAAACACCATCCCATTATATTTGTGTCAACTTCAGTTACTGCTCAAATGTTTTATGTGTGCTTCTTTCTGACCAGCTTTGCAGATCCACTTCAGGTACCCGGTTAACTCTCTCTCTATCTGCTGCTGTCTGCGGAGCTTCAGGAACTCCTGCCTCTTCTCCACCCGCTCTCTCTCCTTGGCAAACTCCCTGTAGAAACCACAAAGAACCCCCACGAACACACACACAAGAACACACAGAAATGTTTATTAGATCTGACAAGCCAAAACAGAGACACTGGAGCACTCCATCTTGGACAGGTACACAGCCGGATGTTACAGGGGGAGAGCTGAACTCATCGTCTGCAGCAGCAGCATAACGGCCTGTCCATACGGCAGCGTGCGTTGAAGCTTCAACGCTTCTGCCCATTCACTTTGAATGGGGTGACGTTGTCAGGGTTGAGCGAAGGACCCAAACGCAGATTTCACAGAAAAACACCTTTATCCCAAGGCTAAATGAAACAGAAACAGAACTCTTCCCCGTGAACAACGTCAAGACACACAAGGAACTAACAAAGACAGACAGAAAAACCAGACGGACGGACATCCCGGGGCAAAGCAGAAGCCGAGAAGGGGGACTCGGGCGGACGGCCCGGGGGCAAGGCAGAGTTCGAGGAGGGGGTCTCGGGCAGACGGCCCGGGGGCAAGGCAGAGTTCATAAAGGGGCGAAGACAGCGGCTGGTAGAGTCAGGGGGCCGGGCCTGAGGGCAGCGGCACTGGCGGGTCAGGCGTAGACGGGACCCTGGACGGAACATAAGCTGGTGTCAGTGGGACCCTTGACGGAGCAAGGGCTGGTGTCGATGAGGCCCCAAACAGGACAGGACATGGTGTTGGCAGGAAACCCGGCGGAGCACGTGTCGGCGGGACCCCCAACAGGACATGATATGGTGTTGGAAGGAAACCCGGCGGAGCAGGTGTTGGCGAGACCCCCAACAGGTCAGGGCACGGAGTTGGCAGGACTCCCAACGGAACCCCTACGGCACAGGACATGGAGTTGGCAGGACCCCCGACGAAACAGGTGTCGGCTGGAACTCCAACGGCACAGGACATAGGGTTGGCAGGACCCCCGGCAGAAGAGTAGTCAGCGGGACCCCCAACGGGACAGGACATAGGGTTGGCAGGACCCCCGGCAGAAGAGTAGTCGGCGGAACCCCCAATGGGACAGGACATGGAGTTGGCAGGACCCCAGCGGAACCTCCAACGGCACAGGAGATAGGGTTGGCAGGACCCCCGGCAGAAGAGTAGTCGGCAGGACCTCCAACGGCACAGGACATAGGGTCGGCAGGACCCCCAGCAGAAGAGTAGTCAGCGGGACCCCCAACGGGACAGGACATGGAGTTGGCAGGACCCCCAGCGGAACCTCCAACGGATCAGGACATTGGGTAGGGACTTGAGAGGGGACTCGAGAGGTGACTTGAAAGGGGACTCGAGAGGAGACTTGAGAGGTGACTTGAGAGGGAACTCGAGAGATGACTTGAAAGAGGACTCCAGAGGGAACTTGAGAGGGAACTTGAGAGGAGACTCGAGAGGGGACCTGAGAAGGAACTTGAGAGGGGACTCGAGAGGAGACTCGAGAGGAGACTTGAGAGGGAACTCGAGAGGAGACTTGAGAGATGACTCGAGAAGAGACTCGAGAGGGGACTTGAGAGGAGACTCGAGAGGAGACTTGAGAGATGACTTGAAAGGGAACTCGAGAAGGAACTTGAGAGGTGACTTGAGAGGGGAATTGAGAGGGGACTCGAGAGGGGACTTGAGAAGAGACTCGAGAGGGGACTTGAGAAGGAACTAGAGAGGGGACTCGAGAAGAGACTCGAGAGGAGACTCGAGAGGAGACTCGAGAGGGAACTCGAGAGGAGACTCGAGAGGGAACTCGAGAGGGAACTCGAGAGGAGACTCGAGAGGGGACCCGAGAGGGGACTCGAGAGGGGACTCGAGAGGGGACTCGAGAGGGGACCCGAGAGGGGACTCGAGAGGGGACTCGAGAAGAGACTTGAGAGGAAACTTGAGAAGGAACTTGAGAGGAGACTTGAGACGGTCGGTTCGCCGACAGAACACGGGGGGCTGGAGTCGGCCGAAACGCCAACAGGACACGGGGAGCTGGCGTCGGCCGGTACGACGACAGGACACGGCGAGCTGGTGTCGGCCGGAGAGCCAGTACTGGAGCCAAAACTGGAGTCGGGACCATGGCTACTGGGGCCGGTACTGAAGCCGGAACCATGGCTGCTGGGGCCGGTTCTGGAGCCGGAACCATGGCTGTTGGGCAAGGAACAGAAACCTGGACCCTGGCTGTGTGAGCCAGGTAATGGAGCACGGAAGCATAGCTGTGTGGGCCGGTACTGGTGCACGAATCCATGGCTTTGTGGGCCGGTTCTGGAGCCGGAACCATGGCTGCTGGGGCCAGAACTGGAACCATGGCTGTGTGGGCCTGTACTGGAGCCCAAAGCATTGCTTCTGGGGCTCGGGCTGCTAGCCTGGACTTGCGACTCCTTCTCTTAGAAGCCTTTGGAAGCTCAGTGGACCTCCAAAAGCCAGACGAGTACCCGAGAACGGCTCCTGGACAGGAGCAGGAAATGGGGAAGAAGCAGGGGTTGACTCCAGACGGAACACATGCCTGGGGCTAGCAGGCCGGGAATCATATGTCTGGAGGAAGTCCATAATCCAGCCAGGTAAGAACCTCAATAAACATGGTTTCTCTGCTGCCAACCGGTGCGCCTCTACCAGAGCGGCCTACTTCTGTAGAACACTGGTAAGGTAACATTTTGTAATTCCACCTCAAATGGATCATCTGCTGGGTCCATTTCTGGTTAGTTCCTTCTGTCAGGGTTGAGCGAAGCAGGCAGGACCCAAACGCAGATTTCACAGAAAAACACCTTTATTCCAAGGCTAAATGAAACAGAAACAGAACTCTTCCTCGTGAACAACGTCAAGACACACAAGGAACTAACAAAGACAGACAGAAAAACCAGAACTTAAATACACACAAGACTAATCAAAGAAACAAGAGACAGGTGAGGAAGGAGGAGAAAACACAGGGGCACAAGGTGAACACAATCGGGTAATCAGACAGGAGGGAACACAGATAGAAAGCAACAGGCAAGACAGGGAGTGAACACTTTTCAAAATAAAACAGGAAACCAAAGACAAAAAAAGACAAGACAAAACAAAACACAGACAGCTCGTGACAGACGTCAGGCTTTGCCGATCTGCATTGTGGTTCCGTCGTTTCGCTTTGCTCGCTTCAAAAGTTGAGCAATGTTCAACTTTTGAAGCTTCGATGGAAGCGTCAGCCAATCACATAATATGCCAGTACAAGCTCTAGCCAATCAAACCGTGTGCTTGTGTGTCCGGGGCGGGAGATTCATGTGATTGGTTGTTGGTCGAGTTTCAGACAAGCCCACTGGCAAGCTTCAACGCACGCCGCCGTGTGGACGCTGCGTAAGAGCTTTTTCAGGACTCAAAACACAGTTTGAGACGCAACTGGGAATTCAAAGATTTCAAAGATTCAAGGCTTTATTGTCATATACTGAGCAGCTACAGTGTAGATATTGCAATGAAAAAACCTAAGTCCCAAGCTCTTCCAACAATGCAACATGAATATATATAAGACATAAAACAATAAAACAAATTTAAAAATAAGAATAGTTCAAGAGGAATAATATAGTAAAATAAAGTTGAAAAAATGCATAATTGTGACAAAGAATGTGCTGACCAAATAAATGCAGGAGTATTTATACATGTAAATAGAATAAGATAAAACTGAATGTAATATTATATATTGTACAGGGAAATAAAATAAAATATGGTTTATTGTAGTAGCAGATGAATGTTTTGGTTATGGCTGCACCCAACAGAGCTCAGCTGTTACAGTCATTCTTGTGGCCTGTGGGATGGTAGTCCCATTGTAATCCCAATGTTATGTTCTGGAAGTCAAGATGAGAATCTTATTTCTAGGAGAAATTATATTTCATTGTAAATATCAATGTTTTTGTTACAGATGGGTTCGGGCACAAGTATGGCAATAAGAGCCCAGCTGGTTGGATTTGGTTAGTGAGAGGTGCATTGCCGAACATGACACTGATAACTATGGGCTTAGAACAGTCTCATAATACACACATGCACACAGAAGGATTCACACTTGTATTTCATGATCCTCAAAAGGAGTCACACTTGTATTTCCGGATCCACACTTGTGTTATTCAATGCACGCACAAATCTGTTCTGTTTCATATACAAAAAAGTTATAGATATGTATTTTTGATCCACACATATTTGTTTTCCATTTAAAACTGCTGCACCTGCAAACACAAGGTCCATGGAGCCTGCCTGCAGGCGCTAATCTCAGGGCCAATGGACCGTAGTATAGTCGTCTTTATTTTTACATCATTATTATTCAAAGATAAATAAGGAAGTGTGTGTTATATGAGATGGCAGAGAGGTTTCAGCTCAGATTATTAAATCAAAGAGGCTTAATGTTTTCGATTATATTATTTCACGGTGTCAAGGTCCAATGTTGACAAAATTAATCAATAGCGGGTGTTACTAAAATACAAGATGTCTTTATTTATATATTATTTAAATAACAATAATAATATAAAAGATTGTATTTGCGTGCATTTCCTGTTCGGAAAGTGACGCTGTACCTCTGTACAGCGTCACAGTGGCGATTTTATTTTTGTAATTATATAATACTTATAATGGTGCGTTCACACCGGACGCGATGCGAATTATCGCTCGAGTTTCACGCCGGCTGTCTGTGTTTACTCGCCTCATTCATCTGAGTCAGATTCTCGAGCCGTATCTGGCCGTGCAACACTTAATGTATGAATGTGTGAGTGTAAATATATACGTGTGTAAGAGTGAACATTTATGTATGTAAAAGGAGAATATATGTGTGTAAGAGTGAAAATATATGTATGTATAAGGAGAATGTATGTGGGTGAGAGGACCAGTATGAATTACGGCCTGTACGGCCCCTCATATGTAAAAGCTGCAGACACGCTTGATGGCTATTGTCCGCACACACCATCTTGTCTGACATATGGCCAATATGTTAACCACATCATCACAGCCAAACATGGACACATACAGCTCCTTACGTTTGGATGACTCGCGGATGACCGTGGCTATGCCCTGAACAAAGTTCAATGTCTC